GTCTTGCTATAAATATTGTATTTTGATAAAGAGTTTATATTAAAAATGAATATGAATATCTTGAGAGTCTAGATGAGTTCCCTAATGATCGTGACGAAGGATATATATATATATATATATATATATATATATATATATATATATATATATATATATATATATATATATATATATATATATATGTATATATATATATATATATATATATATATATATATATAAATGTATATATATATATATATATATATATATATATATATATATATATATATATATATATGTATATATATATATATATATATATATATATATATATATATATATATATAATAAGTTTGTACAAACTTATTTTTGCATTTATAAAGTTATTCATAAAGAATTGTTATATATATATAAATATATATATATATATATATATATATATATATATATATATATATATATATATATATATATATATATATATATATATATACATATATATATATATATATATATATATATATATATATATATATATATATATATATATATATATATATATATATATATAATATATATAACATATATATATATATATATATATATATATTATATATATGTTATATATATATATATATATATATATATATATATATATGTTATATATATATAACAGTTCAATATATATATATATATATATATATATATATATATATATATATATATATATATATATATATATATATATATATATATATATATATATATATTTATATATTGAACTGTTGTATATATATGTATAAATATAAATATATTGTACAACTTATTTTTGTATTTATAAAGTTATCCATAAAGAACTGTTACTAAGATAAAAACTTAAACAAAATGAAAAAATTTGACCTATGAAAAATAATATATACATACTCATATAGATATATACGAAAAAGAAGTTTAAACAAATATCAACACGATTATAATATCAATTTGATTATAATAATATTTGGTAAATAATTAGTTTACAAATGTTTAAGACCTTGAGACGACTTAGGGGTCATTCATAAAGGTCTTAAATATTTGTAATATTTAAGACCCCTTTATGAACACCCCCCCCCCCCAACATACACACATTTTGCAATACGCTTTTTTGAGTACCCTCCACCTCACTAAAAGTACCTACGTTTTTAACCTATTTATTTAACATTTTATGATATTTTTTATAATTTAGTCTCTCCTTTCTTTTATAATTGACCCATTGCTCTCCCATCTTATCTACGCCATTTGCAGACCCCTCCTCCTCTCCGAGCGTACGTACTTTATGGACGATCGCTTAATAGTTGTTTGCAACACACTGTTCTGTTTGCGCCAAGTTCTACTTGCTTTTGTTTACTATAAGGTTTTTTTAGTTTTCCATAATTCGTACTTTTCCATGCAATATTGCAGTAAAAAAGATAGCTGTGAACAAAGCTCTAGTATTTAAAAATGTTTTTTTTTTATATTGTAATCGAAGAATATATATTTTTATAATATATATTTTTATATAGTAAAGAAATATTATTGGAGATTTTATTTTCAATGGATTGGACTTGAGACTTCCATGACAAGTTTTCATCTAGAATTGCTCCTAAAAAGTTAGCAAAAAACTTTCTTTTACCAATTGTTTTATTGAATAAAAGACTGGGCACAAATAAAAGACTGGGCACTTTAAGTGCAATATTATCAATTTTATTTGGTTGTGGAACAGGATAAATTTAGTTTTTTCAACACTCGTGTGCAGTAAAAAAGTAGTGCGTATTTTATTTTTCTATCAACAAACCTTGAACATCAAAGTATATTTTTCTATTGTTTGTTTTTTTATCGTTATTGTTCATAAACTAAATGTTGTGATTATAATAGCATAAAAAAAATTTAAGAAAGGTAATTGTAGCACTGTATGGTTTTAAATTTTCAATATTATCGATTAAAGGTCATTCGTATTTTTTTTTAGACTGTGCAATAAAATAGTAATGAAAAATTAATTTTTGCGTAATAAATGCTGCACTTATCGAATTCTAATTATTAGTTCTTAATAATAAGCAATAAGTAAGAAATTAATTTTGATATTAGATAAATTTATACACTTACTAAAATTTTGAAAATTTAGAGAAACATGAGGCGCTCTAAGCATTGTACTGAAGAAGTTCGTAATTTAATTATAAATCTTAAAAATCATGGTAAAGCCTACAAACAAATATAAGAACTGGTTGGATGCTTACCAACAATGACTTGTAATGCTTTAAAATTGATACCCAAACCAGAAAAACTTGGAAATAAAAGATCAACTACCGCTATAGAAGATCGTCGAATTGTATCGTTAGCGAAAAAGGAGCCATTTATTACTTCTAGAAAAATTTAAGAAAGGCTAGAATTAAATGTTAATACCTCAACTATTCAAAGACGATTAACACATGCCGATTTAAATGCAAGAACACTTGTGAAAAGTGCTACTTTTGAGTAAAAGACATATCAAAAATCGTTTAAATTTTGCACATATGCATGCTTCTTGGCCTAAAGAAAATGGCAAAATGTTTGTGAACTGATGAAAGCAAAGTTGAAATTTTGGTTTCTATGTTCGTAAACAGTATGTTAGAAGACCAACGGATACAGCATATAAGCCACAATTTACATTAAAGACCGTCAAACATGGAGGTTAAAAATAATGATATTGGGTTGTTTTTCTTACTATGGTCTTGGGCCGATACATCGCATAGAAGGTATTATGGATTGGTTTGTATATGTAAAAATACTTGAAGAGATTGTGCTACCTTATGCTGAGGAAGAAGTACCGTTAAAATTTTTGTTCTAGAAGGATAATGATCCCAAACATACGAGCAAGTTAGCCAAATCGTGGTTTAATGAGAACAAAATCGATGTGATGGAGTGGCCAGCACAATCCGATTGTAAACTTGTGAGTTGATGTTAAACAAGCAGCTTCTGAAAATAATCCAAGAGGTTGTAATCAATTGAGGGACGTAGTACAGTCAGCATGGTAAAATATATCTGTCGAACGATGTCAGAATCTTATTGATTCCATGCAACGAAGATGCTTAACGGTTATTACAAATAAAGGTCATGCCACAAAATACAAATGCAGAGCTTCAAAAAAAGAAATTTTTTTAAAATAAAATTTAATTATTTTTTTTCACTACTATTTTATTGCACAGTTAAAAAAAAAAAAATACAAATGATCTTCAATCGATAATATTGAAATTTAAAACCATACAGTGCTGCAATTATCTTTCTTCTTCTTATTATTATTTTTTTTTTATACTATTATAATCACAACATTCAGTTTATGAACAATAACGATAAAAAACAAACAATAGAAAAATATATCTTGATGTTCAAAGTTTGTTGATAGAAAAATAAAATACGCACTACTATACTGCACACGACTGTACATTCACTGAAACTCTACATTCAGTGAAAGGCGGTAATTTATAAACCATTCATTTACTTTAGATAATTCTTCATTGAAATTTTTAAAAAGAATTTTCATACCTATACTTTTAATCGTTTTGGTTATTTTAAGTTTATCTAGTACAATACCAGGCGTTAATGAGAAATTAAAAATATGAAACGATAAGGGTTTAATAATATCAAAGACTGATTTAACTATATTGTCGCTAATTTTATCAATATACTATGAACTTTTGTTAACTTTGAATTAATTATTGTTGCTTTCTTTTGGTGAAAACGTTAAAACGTTCTTTTGAGTCTGGTGAATCAATACGCCAAAGAAAAAGAAGCATTTTTTTCAAAACAAATAGATGCTTTATTAATTTTGCTTTTTTTTTTTATTTGAAAAATTGGCAGCATATTATTATATTATATTATATTTTCTTTGCCGTATAATTAAATTTACAATGAGAAAAAACCATTCATGTATAAAAATTGGCCGGAGCAAGAAGAAGACATAAACTGTCTTAT